AGGACTCCAGAGCAACAACGGAGATTTTATTAAATGGACCCAAATCTACAGTAGTAGATGGAATTACAAGACTTTTCAATAATTAAAAGTATATGTGACTAAAGCAAATTACACAGAACTACATCTACAATTCTTCCCAAGCCTTGCCTCTAGCTGGTAGCACTGAGTATTTTTACTCAGGAAATGGCAGTCACTGGTGGCCTTGAAGGCACTTGTCTGAATTTATCTAAGAGAGGAACTAATTTGCTGCAGCTGTGTTAAAAATCTCTCTAAACAGTAACAGTCAAGAAACAAACTGAACAGCTCAGCAGTCACCGGGCATTAAAATCATTGAAAGGCTCCTTTGCTAGTATCAGTTGGGAATGAGAAAGCTTCTTTTTCATGCCTGCAGTTCAAACATCCAAACCCTAAATAGGCACATCCGTGATTAAAAACTAGAATGCCAGATCCAGGCAGGCTGAGCCAGAACAGATCCAAGCTATAGGAACATGCCTCCAAAAACCTCTGATTCAAAAAGGAATTAAACAAAGCACGGGAAAACAGAAACTGAACTTGAGCAGCTGGTTCAGGGAACTGCCTTTCCCCCTTTCACTACACAGCAGTGCAAACCTGTCTGGCCCTCATCTGCTAAACAGCACCTCGCTTGGACATTTTCTAAAAGCAGCAGTACTCTACACTGGCATTTACACAGTGAAATACCAGCTCTAACATTGGGCTCTATATAATTAAGCTGAAACAAGAAATGCTGTTCCAAAAGGAAAGGACAGCTTTAATCAGGTAGAAGCCTAGGCTCTGTTTCCAAAGCCATTAAGAACCTATTTCTTGCCTTCTGACTTAAGAAGTGCATTAGGAGTCTATGCCGTTTTGTTTTAGCTGTAAGTCTGCAGGGAGGACAGTGAGCAAATACTGAATATTTTGGTTATTTCTCATGACTAAGAAACTGCATTTCCAAATCATATACTTTTTCCAGAAGGTTTGATTTGGTTTCTCAAGGTCAGTGCAATATCACAGAGCAGTTTTGTTTGTTTTTTTTTTTTTTAAAAAAAAAGGGAGTCCCTTACCTGTGGCAGAGTGAAGACTCTCCAAGCTCCAGTATCTGGACAGGACGCCTCTCATCCCACCACCACCACACACCACCCCGCTGCTGTCTGAATCGGAACCCGGTGAGAGCCCGGAGCTTCCACTGCTACTGCAGTTTTCTCCACTGTGTGCCCCACTGGACTCACTGGGGCACTGCTGGGTCCTCATGCAGGCAGGTAAGAGGGAGAGCCAGGGGCTCTGCTCTGCTGGGGGAGGAAATGGGCAAAGCACTCCTTAGCTGCTCCCAGGGCAGCAGTACCTGGCAGCGCTGTCTGAGGACTGAGCTGGATTCCTATCCTCCTCTCTGCTTGTCTCGATGCATCCTGACATCATAGGGGTCCACTAAGGAGGCTCCCTCTGTGGCAGCTCAACTGGTCTCAGCTGCAGCTTCTAGCAGCTGATTTTTATTAAAGGTGATTTCAAGGCATTAAAAAAGCAACAGAGATCTTTCCTCCTAACTTAGCAGAACTGTCAGATTAAAAGTAAATAAGTGGGAATAGTATAATTTCATGCATTTTAAAATTGCCCGAGTAAGAGAGACCTTGTGTTATCTGCTTCCCCTGAGAACTCAGAAAGGACTTAACACATAAACTAATCACGTTTAGAACTGGCTGTGGCTGCTGCTATTAAAAAACTATTTTTGTAAGCCCTCAGAAAAAGAATTGAAAATTAAATCAAAGCCAGAAAAACACAAACGAAGATTTGAGGAGGTTGCAGCTGGCAGCTTTGAAAAATCTTTTAGCGTCCACTCCCAGACTGTAGACCTGGGATAGTCTCTGTTTCAGTGTGTGATCTTTGTAAGAGAACTCAGTCCCAAGTGAAATAGCATCACTAACTACTTTTTAATTAGAAGGTTTTATATTCTTATTACTTAACATGTGATGCTGTGTATCCCTATAAAAAGAATTCTGAAAGACATACGCGTTTCCTGAGAATGCAGAAATACCTGTACTGCTTAACAACATCTCTGAGATACCACAGAGGTTTTATGGTAAAGGAAATTTCCGGACTGCCACTCTGCCTTACACCAGCAGATTTGTCAAACTGTGAAAATAATTTAAGAGTATAGCCACGTGGTTTGCACCATGTGCAGTGGAAAGCATTATAAAACTTCTTACGCTCGTTACCCGAGTAAGTGTAAGACCAGAACTAGAGTGCTTCAGTGTGGGACTATCCAGGCCAGCTCAAAGTCAGCCAGGTGCAATTCTGTAACTACGGGTTGGGACTGAAGCAAACTAGGAGCTCGGCTCCACTAGCACAGGTGGGAGGGTGACAGCCACCCACAGGTGGGACACAAAGGGGCATGCTGGGAAATACCAAACCGCTGCTACTGTTTAGAAAGTGAATGTGCATCCAGGCATCCAAACCCAAACCTAGGAGTGTTAATTTCACACAAGAATTGAAAACGATTGTTTTACTATTTCTGTGTAAGGTCATTCTGTCCAAAGTCAATAAAGCCACGTTATTATATGGCCATCAGAGCCTGCTCTCACAGAGAGACCCCTTTGACTTTGGCTCACTATCTGTGCAATGACAGGGTTACTTTATTTCAGTAAGACTTTTGTTTTACTGAGTATTTCCTAAAAGAAAAAAAATCTTTGCCCTCCATCACTGCAGGTTACTACAAAGCATCCAACAATGCTGAACCAACTTTTGAGTCCTTAAATATTTCAGCCATTCTTTACAAGAAAGGTCTCTGCAGTAGTAGCAAAAATAACATTGCTACAGCAGCCCGTAACAAAAAAATTCCTTCAATTATCTTCTGAGCACAGCTACTTAGACCAAAATATCTTCCTCTAATGCCTCCCAATACAGAAACGGAAACGTGTTCTCAATTTGCCTGCAGTAGAACCACCCTTCTGCATTGATCTGGTCCTTCCAGGGCCTCCTAGAACTACCTGCATTAAAGTACAAATGGAGAGGATTTTCTTGATCATCATAACAGGAGAGAAGGTGAGTTAAACATTAACAACAAAGACGAATGCAGCTGTTCTGTGGATGTGGAGAACAGGGCACTGAGAAGAGGAAGAGACAGTGCAGCTCTTCAGAAACAGAAGGTGCTAATGAGAGGCTACAACTCAGTCCTAATTATCCTAACTCTGCTCCCTGAAATCCATTCTTGGTACACGAGAAGTAAGGAAACTCCACACATCTGTATCTCTCCTTGACTGAGCTACTAAAGCAGAGGCGCTGTAGCCACTGCCTTTGCCTGGGAGATCTCTACCCTCAACCTGCTTAAACCACTCCATCTGTTCCTCTGCTAACCCTCCCACTCTCTGGACTGAATGCTCTTGGCAAATACCAAAAGATGTGTATTCAGTGCCAGAGACAGCAGTGCTGTAATCCCAGCTGTGCTACAGAGGTATGCATGCTGTATGTATGTACTGGACAGGCATTCTCTAACAGAAAGAAAAGAGAGGAAAATACTGCAAAGCCAGGTTGCAGAAAGCACAATATTACATCAGAGTTCAAAACTACAGCCCGTCAGAGAGGGGTTCCACTTAACTACAGATTTTATTTATTTTTTTAAACCTACATAGGGATTTTCTTCTGCGAAACTAGAGAGAGAAGTTAGCTAAAGTTGCTGTAGGTCACTTGATCACTGCACAGCCTGATGAAGGTAGTCAAGCCAGCCTGAGCCTTGGACAGCCTGATCCTAAATATCTGCTGAATTTTTTTAGTCTCTATTGGGTTCTCCTGTAGTCTTGTAGCATTGAACAACGATTGCCGCGATCATTCAGGATTTGCTAGAATCTTCTTTTTCACATTTTTCCCCCATGGAAAGTTTTTATTGGTATGCTAAATCTTTCACCTCAGTAGCTAATACACACAATCCTACTCAGACAAATTTTCAGGAATTCAGCCATCACTTGGCCTGGCTTTTAAGATCGGATGAAAATCTTTGAGTAAGCTCATGTTATCAGAGACCTCACAGAGCACAAATATTTGTGGCTGTGGTTAAACAGAATCAAGATTGACATAGTGGATCTAATCTTTCTGTGATTCAAACACAAAGTGAAAAATACAGTAGGCAACATGATTTCTTTTCAGACACTTAAATTCAATGGTACTTCCATGGGTAATGAGGATGGAATGGACATTTCATGCTACAATGATACACTTCTGTGTCCCTTCAAGAACTAAAATGACAAAAATGGAATAAATAGCTCAGCTTGTTATTTTGCTGAACTACAGGACTGCTAAATATTTATAAGACATAATGAATTCCTGTTATTAAGCTAATATTTTCCCTCTTGAATAGATTTCTCCAGTGGCTGTCAAACATCTTCACATTAACTGTTGCCAAGTGTGAGCTTAACAGCCCATCTATAGCTGGGAAAAGAAGATGAAAGTCGGCCACAACGTTGAGTAAACAAACAGTCCCTTTGCCTCTGAGAAATACTTTCCGCTATGCCAGTAAGGCCAGAGGATAGTTCAGTATCACTAAGTGGTCACTGTTTTCCAACTACCCACAAAAAATTCAGACTTTGAGAATTTGGCTTGCCTATTCTTACTGTTTACTCAAGATCTCCAAGGCCACCAGCACGCTCATCATCAGTACACATCAGTCAGAATGAATTCATGCCTCTTTGGTTGGCATAACCAATGCCAGCACTGTGGTGGAACTCCTGAGCATCTCTTGTAGATATCCGATTGCGGGAAACTTAAAGATCTTAGGCTGTTTAAATCTGACAAAAGACAGGGAAAATTGCCAAAAAGATTCAGTCTGCATTTGAATAATGATTTTAAATAATACAGATTTAAGGTCTGTTACAGCACAGCTACAAACCTGATCTTGTAAAACACTAGTTACAAGCTTCTCCCTCTATGAGGTATGACAAACCCTGAAGGTTTACAGTCATACGTGTGACCCTACCCAAAAGTTTCACAGATTCTCTGAGAGGTAGCATGGGGGGAAACCTCTGGGAAAAGGCAGTGAAAGCAGGCAGAAGCACAGAAAAGTCTCTAGCTGAGAAGCACAGAAAGCAATGAGAGAGGGACTTCAA